CTTTTACTCGATTTACTCGACTTTCACAGGGTTTACATAGGGTCCCGCCGACTTTTGTTCGAGTTAGGTTCGAAATATCACACATTTGTGTATGTTTTTATATAAATTAACCCATTTTGATGACTTGGCTTCATTAATTTTCGAAATTTCAACGAAGAACACTTATATATAGATCATTATAATACTGCACGTTTGTAACGTCGCTTTTCATTGGATAATCGTGACGTTTATATATTTTTATATACACGGCTGTTGTCGATTTATAAAGAAATCTCGCTTTATTCCTCTAAAAATGATGCTTGCTGTATTATAAATTCGTTATAGCGGCTCGGGTTATATTTACAAACAGCCGTTTATATAAGGCCATATAACCTGTCAACAATCTTTATAACTAATATTAACATCAATAAATGAATAAAAAGTGAAGCAATGTAAAATGAATGTGTCTTTTTTTCTGTTGTGTAGCGGTTGCTGGAGGGTCCACCGAACTGGCATTGGAGTCTGAATCCCTGGGAGACACGGTTATTGCCGGTTGGTCCTCTAGCTTATCAGGGTCAATTAGTTGGAGTGGTCGGTGGACCTGGATGGCTCTTCTTGTATTCCTTCTATGCGTCCAAAACTTCTTCATTGGATACATTCTAGTGTGATGCAGCAAGCACTCTTGGTAGGGTGGCAGCAGGTAGTTGTGTTTTTGTACAGTTCTTGCTGACGTAGAGGCCTTGTTAGACCGTACGAGGCCGTGTGAGACCCTGTATACCCGAACCGTATTGGTCGTATGGCGATCGTATGAAACCGTGTGTGCACTCGTTTGAATCGTACCGTGATCTTGTGACATTCGGGTGTTAATCGGGTGTTGGATGTAGGACTTGGGGACGGTCTCGAACGATTCCATTCGATTTATATACGACCTTGATACGGTTTGGCTCACTCGTGGAGTGAACTTCACATACGGCTGTATATACGATCTCATACGGTCTCACACGGTCTTGTACGGTCGCTTATACGGTCATACACGGACATGGCATCCGTACCAGTTTTTTAAAAGTTTTAAAAATCATACACGGCTTACACGGATACACTCGAATGGCCCGAGTGTAACTCGGATAACGCTACGGTTAGTTCGGTTGTATGTACGGTTTACACGGGTGGCCAACCGTGTAAGCCGTGTGTCCTGTGTGAGATGGGCTTTACACAAGTGGTAAAACTGATATTTTTAGAAACGTTTAGAATACACACACACGACGTGTCATGTCTCATACGTAAATTGTGTCTTTAATCAAACCGAGTTTGCAATTTTCATGTAATTTTGTTGTGATTAATGCTTCCGAAGGATCACTTTGTTTCCAGATTTTTATACTTCACAACAACAGGTGTCATGTGGCAGCTGTAAAAAGTTGCCCCGAACTTCTCTTCAGTGTTGTTATATTTTTCTGGTCCTTCGTGATCATTGATGCCAACACTATTAAGTGTTGCGAATTGAGTACCGCTCAAGGCGGTGCTAGGGGGCGTGAGGGATGTTGCACTTATTCATTATCTCACATGTACAGACTCAATCAAACCGAGTCTGCAATTTTCATGTAATTTTGTTTTGATTAATGCTTCCGAGGGATCACTTTGTTTTTAGATTTTTATTATAATCATTAGAGTTAAAGATTGAAAGGAATTGTAATATTAGCATTATCATCAAAAACAAACACATTTACCTATCCCAACAATATGGTAAATAAATAAACGAGCCAAAAGGTTAAGGGCAGGTGGTCTTTCTATCTGAGTGGTATTGGTATAGCGTTCAACTAGTATTTTAATTAAGCAATGAATTAAGACGAAAACAAGTAATTGCAATTGAGATGAAAGAATAAAAATAACAATAAAGTAATAATGATGATGATGATGACAATAATGATGATGATAATAATAATAAAAACAACATTAATAACAATAATAACAAGAATTGTCATTTTAAGGGATTGTTTACGAATCTATAGAGGATATTTGTTTAGTTCAGTGCTAGATCGGAATTTATAACATGCTTTTCAGTGGTTTATAGAAATATATCAGTGATATAAAACTGGTAATTTCACTGTTTGAAACAGTGAAATTACCACTTTGATAATTTCACTGTTTTGAATTTAAGCCCCTTACGTTGTTTCAGTGAAATACCAGCGTGCACAGTACTGGGTACCAACTTAATGACGTGACGTCGCAAATGACGTCACGTTGTATTATTATTTGGCGCGCTTTTCATTCAGTATTAGGTTTAATGTCTTTTTAAAACGTTTCTTTGCATGTAATAAAAAGGAAATTTGTTTAGTTTAGTGTAAGATTGAAATATATTTCACCTTGTGAACACCAAAAGTTCATATTTCACTCGTGGCTGCGCCACTCGTGAAATATACCTTTTGGTGCTCACTCGGTGAAATATATTCCGATCTTACACTGAACTAAACAAATATCCTCTATATATTTCACGAGTGAAATATGAACTGTTGGTGTTCACGAGGTGAAATATAGTTCAATCTTACATTAAATTTTCAAATTTTCTTTTATTATATGCGAAGTAACTTTTAAAAAGACATTTTAATCTAATGCTAAATGAAAAGCGCGCCAAATAATAAAACAACCTGACGTCATTTACTACGTTACGTCATTAAGTTGTTGCACGTTGGTATTTCACTGAAAAAAACTAAAGGACTTAAAGTCAAAACAGTGAAAATATCAAATTGATAATTTCACTATTTCAAACAGTGAAATATCAAGTTTTTTTTATTTTACTGATATATAGAGGATATTTGTTTTGTTCAGTGTAAGATCGGGATATATTTCACCGAGTGAGCACCAAAAGGTATATTTCACGAGTGGCGCAAAGAAACGTTTAAAAAGACATTTTCCAGTTTTGTGCACG